GCTCAGCTTACTGGTCTCTGTTTAGCATTTTATAAAGACACTCAACATTTAAGAATATTTTAATATTATTTTCAATTCAATTCAGTTTATTTCGATAGTGTAAAATAACATCATTTAATCTCATGATACTTTATAGAAACAATTCAACCAGATCGTCTAGTCAGACACAGCCAGGCAGACGAGCTCCGAGCCAGCTCCCATGTCAGAGGATGAAGAGAGCACATCCAGTTAGTCACAGTCAGAGAAACAGGACTACACTGGAAAACAGATGAGTGTGAATGGAGCAGGCTAGCATTAGCAGTAGACATGCTGCTCTCCATCAGGATCCAGTGAACGCTGTTCATTGAAGGTGTTCATCCAAAACACTCAACCTGTGGGACTGGATTGCAAAGTTAATCCTAGTTGAGTCTTTTCTACTCACCCCTTATAGTGAAACAAAGCAGAAGACGATCCTAAAAACGTAAGGAAGTCAGTCAGATTTCTCCTTTCTTTCTTTTAAGATATTTTACTTCTCAAAGTGCGACTCAATATAACTCTGGTTGAGATTTTATTCTCTTCCTTTCTCTGTCGTAAAATGCAAAGAAATAATGATGAGAACTGTGGCCTTGACCTCCATGAGTCACAGTTCACTGCAGGCCTAACTGATGGCTGGGCTTTCTTTGCTAATCATCCCCTCACAGCGTGCAGAGATGTTATCTCTGGACGGGAACAGAGGAAATGTTGATCTAATGGCTGCTTAGCAATAGCCAATCACTGTTCCACCTAATGTTGCAGAGCTGCTCTGTCTTTTTATGGCAAACAAACGTACAGAAAACATGTTTTTTTCCACACAGTTGATCAGCCAGTGGTGCGTCTGCAGATCTCGCCATGCTGAGTTTAACTTCATTTCTTTTACTAAGCAAGTCTCTGCCTGTGAGCTCATAGTTCATCACATTTATTGCATCAGCACCGACAGTTCTCAGCCACTGTGAGGCATCTGCTCCACACTAATATCTGCTGCCGCTCACATTTTTCACACTGAGAAATTGTTTTTCCTCTAAAGTAGGAAATATTTACACCTAAGGACTGTTTTTGTTATTGAGAAATAAAAAAATGGTAAACCGAAGGAATGAAGTAAGGAAGAGGAACCACTGGTGATGTTATGAGACGAGCTGAGGCTTTGAGGCGTGTGTCGAGTAATGGAGGGGGGCTATTTCTCGAAACGCCTGTTTCATTTAGGGGAGGGGCCAAAATTGGTGACTCCCTACCGTGATACCAGGTGACCGCTTTCGAAAGTTGTTCGGACCAGACAAGAACTTCGGCAGGCACTGAAACAGCCGCAGTATTCAATCAAGACGTGGAAGTTTATAGGAGAGTTGCTCCAGTTGGACTGAGTTTGGATAGATTCTAAGAATAGATTGGTTGGAAAAAAACAAGCAATCTAGTTGGTTAAAACAAGTTTGGTTAAATTACAGTCATTGAGAAATCATAGTTAAATGTCAAATCATTCTGGCTTAAACATGAATATAAATCTACTCTTTATCAGACGATATAAACCTAAAATTTAGAAAATTTCAGTTTAAAATATTTGTTTTTCCGTTATCTTCTGCAGGCCAGTTAGTTCTACGTCAGCCTGAACACCTAAATTTGGCCAATCATATATCAACGGTCATCTGTCAATCACATTTTTTCTTGATTCATGTGTCGCAGCTAATATACGCAACGGTTGAAATCAGAATCCTTTCCTTTCCCATTGAGTTGCGTCCCAGTGTTCACGGGGATGGACGTCTGTGTCTTCGGCAGGCGTAGAGCTAACAGAACTGGCAGCGTTGCGAGGCAAGGGCTCAAACATGTACGGCTGGAAGCCTTCTACACCAAACCAAACTTCTGCCGCCCTGGCGTCCTCTTCCACAACATCTTCGTCCCCGCTTTCCTCCTCTAAATAAAAAATGGATGACGGAGGAGACTCATCCACGACCTCCGACACTAAACTCTCCTCCTCTTGCATGTTTCCTCTGTCCATAGCGTTCCTTGACAGCGTCGTTTCTAAGTCACCAATTTAGTGCTACTTGGTCCCAATGGAATTTCCCATTGGGAACCTGCTAGCACTAAGATGCTAACTGGTTAGCAAGATGCTTCCAACAGACCGGCCACAACCAAACTGGCTTGCAAACCTTCCGCCACAACAATCCCGCCCCCTTGATAAACGACCAATCACATTCACTTTATTCACTCTTGTAAAGTCGGGCACCACTAGGGAGAATTTGGAAATGCAAATTTGGAATGGGAAAACAATCTGTTTATGGTGAACGGCCGATTCCCTACGACTTTAAACAATGTAATGATCAAAATCTGACCAAGCCACCGTTTACAGTTGTAACTGCTTTCTGCAGTACAGTTACCATTACTAGTGGTGTCAGCTGTAACACATGGACTTCCAGTCCTGGAATTGTTGGTTTGAATCCCACCTCAGACTTTGGAAAGTTGTGATAAAACACAGCCAGTATTTTAGCTGATGTGACTAATATGTACTGGTTTGCCTTGGTACAAATATAGATTGGGTAAAAACACTGCCAAATTAGATTGGTTGATTTAGCTAAAAGATTTTTTGAAAACATAACTTCCAAACTGA